AGGAAGCGTACTCCCTCACAGCCTGTAAACAGGAAGTGTACTCCCTCACAGCCTGTAAACAGGACGTGAACTCTCTCACAGCCTGTAAACAGGAAGTGAACTCTCTCACAGTCTGTAAACAGGAAGTGAACTCCCACACAGCCTGTAAACAGGAAGTGAACTCCTTCACAGCCGGTAAACAGGAAGTGAACTTCCTCACAGCCTGTAAACAGGAAGTGAACTCCCTCACAGCCTGCAAAACAGGAAATTAACTCACTCAGTCTGGTGGTCTCTGTAGCGGCCTCCCTGCTCCCAGCCGAGTGTACGCCAGGGTTCTCGGCTTTTACTTCTGTGTGTTTCTCTACTGCCGCTGCGACTAGGACTGTACTTCCTGTCCCGGCTGCGACTGCGCTTCCTGTCTCGACTGCGCTTCCTGTCTTGACTGCGGCTATGCATCCTGTCCTTGCTGCGACTGCGTTTCCTTCCTTGGCTGTGACTGCGGCTTCGTCTCTTCCTATAAGACGTAAGTTAGCCACTCAAAACAAAGTACACTCCTTCCAACAGATGACAAAAACAAAAGGTGGAAAGACAGGTGGACAAATATTACCTCTTGCTGTCAGCCTGGCTGTCAGGGCTCTGATTTTTGGCAACTTCCTGTTGGGTCAACAAAGAACAACTTGAAGAAACAAAAACATATTTGAAAGTGTGGTAAAGTGTGTGTGGACAGGGGTAGTGGGGGTTAGGGTCAGACAACAAAGAACAGTATATCATCGCTCTAACGGAACTGTCTGGAGGCTAAACACTGTGATTTCGCCTCCCTGTTCTGTTTAAATCGTGCCATTGAATGGTGAGTGTTTTTTCATTTTTTAACCATCCATCCATCCCTCATATGGTTCTGAACTCAGGTCTCAGGGGCAGCAGCTTGAGCAGCCATCTCTTCCAGCTCTTCTGGGAGGATTCCAAGGTGTTCCCAGACCATCTGAGACATAGATTCTCCAGCGTGCCCTGGATCTTCCCTGAGGTCTCCTCCCAGTTGGACATGTCCAGAAAACCTCCCTATGGAGGCGTCCAGAGGTCTTCCTTACCAAATGTCTGAACCTCATCAGCTAGTTCCTCTGGATGTGGAGGAGCAGAGATTCTACTCTGAGTCTCTCCTGGAAAACTGAACTTCTTACTCCATCTCTAAGGGAGAGTCCAGCCACCCTGCAGAGAAAACTCTTTAGACCTCCAGTTCTTTCAGTCACTACCCAGAGTTTGTGGCAATAGGTGAGGGTAGGAAATATATTTAGACAAACCGGTAAACAGAGAGCTGCTTCTTACAGCTCAGTTCCCTCTTCACCACAACGGACAGGCACACAGTCCACAAAACTGCAGACGTTGCACCAATCCATCTGTTAATCTCACGCTCCATCCTTCTCTCACTCATGAACAAAACCTCGAGATACTTGAACTACACTTGATTCCTGAGGTTCTGCCTCCACTTGAGGCAGAACCTCCTCAAGTGTTCCTCCTCATCCCCAACTAAAAGAGGACAGTCTGAGGACCATGGCCTCAGATTTGGAGGTGCCAATTCTCATCCAAGCCGCTTCACACTCGGCTGTGAACTGCTCCAGTGAGAGCTGAAGATCACGGCACGATGACGCCAACAGGACCATCTGCAAAGAGCAGAGAGAAGGAATCCTGAGGCCACCGAACCGGACTCTCTCCACCCCCTGGCTGCACCGAGAAATTCTGTCCATAAAAGTTATGAACAGAATCGGTGACAACGGGCAGCCCTGGCAGAGTCCAACTCCCACCCTGAAGGGGTCCGACTTACTACCGGCAACACAAACCAAACTCTCACACCCCTTGTATAAGGACTGAACAGCCCGTAGCAACGGACCCCCAATCCCATACTCCCTGAGCACCCCCCACAGTGTACCTCGAGGAACTTGGTTGAAAATCTTCTCCAAATCCACAAAACACATGTAGACTGGATGGGCAAACTCTCATGACTCCTTGAGGACCCTAGTGAGGGTAAAGAGCTGGTCCAGTGTTCCACAGCCAGGATGGAACCTGCAATGTTCCTCCTGGATCTGAGGTTCGACCAACGATTGAACTCACTTCTCCAGTACCCCTGAATAGACCTTACCAGGGAGGCTAAGGAGAGTGATGCCCCTGTAACTGGAGCACACACTCCGGTCCGCCTTTCTGAACGGTAAATGTAATAAAGATACTCAAAGCTCTTTACAACACAATCTGTGCCCTCCTCATTTACCTCCACACACACATTCATACAGCACTCTACTACACCTCTATAAACCTCATCTGAATCTGTAGACTAATCAGAGCTTTAGATGTTTACATTCATACACCGATGGGACACACATCTGAGGCAATGAGGGGTTCAGTGTCTTGCCCATGGACACTTCAACATGTGACCACTGGTGGAATCGAACCCCTAACTTTCCCATTAGGGAGTTTGGGGTTCAACCACTGCTCTAACCACTCAGCCACAGAAAACAGCAGCCCCAGTCTGCAAATCCAGTGGCACTGCCCCGATGTCCTAGCAATGTTGCAAAGACGTGTCAATGACGAAAGACCCACAACATCCAGAGCCTTAAGGAAATCAGGATGAATGTCATCCACCGCCGGAGCCCTGCTGCTGCGGCGATATTTTTTAACTACAGGTTGTTCTGAGGGTGGGATCAAAGGTCAGAGGGTGGATGTTCCACTCTAACCCTTCGAAGGGGGACTGAAGGAAAGGGTACACAGTTGTGAACCCTTTGAACTGCTCTGGTTCTGGTTGAATTAGACCACATGAGAAACTCTTACCTTCCTGTATGGAGCCTCCAGCATCGCCTCAATGTCCAGGTCGTCCGCCATCACCGTGCTGCACACACACACATACACACACACACAGGTAATTTCTCTGTTTTTTGGAATCCAAAGTCTCTCTCCTTAGACCAAGTCCAGATTAAAATCCAGTTAGACCCGTTAGATCTGGACTGGACTTTCCAGGGACAGACTTTGCAAAACAGTTTGTAAAACCTGTTTTTCTGTCTGAAAGTGGAAACAAGCAGGACTGAAATCCCTGCTTCTGCTCCGGTCTGATACGTTCAGCTTTCACAGGAACCACTTTAAGTCTTAATAAATTAACGTGAATTAAAATCCGACATTCGTTTAACAGTAAACATTATCGGGTCTGAAGGTGGGCCTGAAGAGGACTTTTGCTTTCCGAATCCAGATCTAAACTCGGAGATCCAGACCAGCTAGCTAAAATCAGGCTGCCGACTGACTGATTGACTGACGATGTATCCCGAATGTGAGCGTCTTCAGACGGATCAAACCCAGGGTTCCGCAGAGGCGGCTAATGGCTAGCACCAATGCTAATGGCTAGCACCAATGCTAATGGCTAGCGGCTAACAGCTAGCACCTATGCTAACAGCTAGCGGCTAACAGCTAGCACCTATGCTAATAGTTAGCGGGTCTCTCCGCTCTCGAAGGGTCATTTGAGGCTGAGCGGATAAACGGAAACTGTTTCGGAGACAAAGTTCGGTCTCACCTTAATCCACGGCGTGTCGGTGGGATAAAACCTGCAGACTGTGTCCGGTCGACAGAACTTGTTCTGGTTCGCTCGATGCTAAAGCGGGTCGGAACGGTATCCACAGGGACGGAAAGTTATCGCGAGACTTTGTTGGCGCGAGATTAAAAACAGCATTTGATCGATAATCTCACAAGATGATTTGATTCGACGGGATTTGATTTATAATAGATAATAAAAATATTCACTGAAAAAAGAGAAATAAAATAAACTAGAGAAATTGTATTTCATGTGAAAATGCAGTGTGAATGCTTATTGCAGAAGAACTTGCTGAAAAACAGTTGAAAAAAACAGCAGAAATTAGTTTTATAAAACTGAAATTAGCTAAAAAATGAGAAAATTAGCTTAAAAAATGCTGAAATTAGCAAATATGAAAATTCGCTGAAAAGGCGGAAGGAAATGGAAAAAGCTGAAATGAGCTCCAAAAACGTGTAATTACCTGAAAAAGCTAAATTTAGCATAAACAGCTAAGTAGTAGCTGAAATATCAGATAAAACTTAAACTAGCTGAAAAAAGCTCAATTTACCATAAAGAAGTTAATTAGGTTCAAAGAAGAAAAAATTACCATGAAAAACTTGAATTTAATTTAAAACAGCTGAAATTAGCTAAAAATATATGCTAAAAATGTAGCTGAAAAGGTAAAACAAGCTTTAATTAGCAGAAGGCAGAATGAACGCAGGTTTGCCCAATTAGGCTGAAAGAAGCAGAAACCAGCACAAGAGGAAATTAACAAAAAAAAAACAGCTGAAAAGGCAGAAAGAAGCTGAAATTACCAGAAGGAAATGGATCACATTTTTGTTCAGCTGAAAAAAGTAGAAATGAGTGGAAAAAATTTGGAATTAGCTGAAAAAGCTAAACTTAGCATAAAACAGCTAAGCTGAAATAGTAGAATAAGCTGAAACTTGCAGAAATAAGCAAGCTGAAATTAGTAGAAAAAAGTTAGAAGCACAAAAAATGTTGTAGCTACCAGAAATAATGTCAAAGAGCACAAAACAACTGAACAAACAGCTGAAATTACTTGAAAATGTTTAACACAAGGAAGGTGAACGATGCTGAACCAGAACAAAATGTGAAAGTAGCAGTAAAAGGTTGTGAACAGATCTAGAGATTTGAAGGATGTAAAATGAGCTCAATTCATTTTCTATGAGAAAGAAAATGGCAGAAAAGGCTAAATATTTCAAAAAGCTAAAGCTGCACCTATACCAAAAGTCACAGCACCCTTCTCCTGAACGAGCCTTTGTGGAAAAATTGTGGAACGTGAAAGATGCCGAAAACATACGGAAGAAAAATGGATCGTGTGTGAAAGCTTCATAAACATGTTAAAAACAATGGTCCAAATGTTTGAGCCTCTTCTTTATACATTTTCAGGAATCATAGTCTTCCTGTCCACTGCCAGATTTATTTATTTCAGATGTCGGTCAGAAACATTCCTGACAACCGTGATGAGTTCTGGAGCGTTTTAAATGTTCTGAATTTGAACAAGAGGAAATCGAGTGATGTTTTTTGGGAACACTAGTTTATTTTAATGGGTACGTCAAATCAAATCAAGAGTCAAATCGATGCTAATCTTAAATTTTCAGAGTCAGTGGATTTCTGAGGCAGCGCCAGGATGAGCCCGTTCTGTCCCAGCAGCTGTTGGAAACTGAGCCACGTCTTCCTTAAGACTGCTTGGGGCCCCCTGGAGGTTCTGGATGTCCGGGCGGCCGTCACTTGTTCTCTGATGGTGCAAACTGTCCACGGTGTCTTTTTACTAAATAAACCAAATCCAACCAGCACAAAGTTTAAACCACAACACACCTGTTTTAAACGTTAAAACTGTTTATAAACCTTTACCTTGCTGAGATGTTACAGCCTTACTTACCTACCTGCCCATTCTCCTCCCAGATCTACTGATAACAACTGGACCAAGAAGCAGGCGTGATGCAGTGGCAGGGCTTTTGGAACCGTCGTTGCACATTAGACTTTTTCTGCTTTTAAGTTTTCACCGAAAACTCATCTTTAATCTTTGGCTGTTGTTACTTTTTAACATTTATTTTTTTACGATTTCATCGTTTTATTCCAGTTTTTCTTGTTGAATGTACTGATTGTTTACCTGTTCCATCATGTTTTATAAAAAAATAAAAAGTGAGAAAAGATTGTATTCAGTTTCATTCTGTTTATTGAATTCTGAGGTATTTCACTGGTAACCATGGTAACCACCCGACACATTGGTGGACTCATGCGCAGCATCAAGCCCAATCATGATCAGAATATTTCTACAGGAACAAATGTAAAAACTCCTGATGATAATTTCTTCTGAACCCTAATGAGAAGAGGTCCTATAAGGACCGGGTTCTGGTTCTGTTGGCTCCTTAACAAGAACAGACTGGTCTCATTTGCTGTTACCTGTTCCTCCAAAGGGGGCGGGGCCAAACACACAGAGACACAAACACCAAACAAAAGGTTCTGATACCAGAACGTCGGCGGACTCCAGATTTAGTAGAACCGTGGCTCAGATCCAGAACCTGTAGTCCACCACCATCATCATCATCTGGTTCATCTTCATCACAGCAACAGTGGTCTTCTCTGATTGGCCCACACAGTTTTCACTGTGACATCATCACTCATGTCAGCCAATCAGATGTCGTCCTGCTCAGCTCGCTCCTTGGAGGAAACCCACCTGCTGACGATCACCTCCTGCAGAGGAGAAGAGGTTATGGACCTCCAGCAGGTGAGCAGAGCGAACAATGGATCCATTAATCAAACATGGCACCTGACCACCAAGTTCTAACTGAAAACTGAAGCTAAACGTAACGAGGTGCAGGTAAACCTGACGTTCTGACATGTTACCTGGACCTCCAGCCTGCTCAGGCACACAGGTGAGTCTAGCTCCGTCTCCGACAGGTCAGCTGGGCAGATGATGTAACACAGCATCAGCTCCTACAACCAATCAGTTCATCGTCAGACACAAGCATCATCACCTGACATCACCTGAACCCACCCACCAGTTACCTTGGAGACACTTGCTGTGATCCTACTCAGAGCTGCCAGAGAACGCCAAGAAAACGGACGCAACGCAGCGCCCCTGAACGTCTCATCAGTCTGCTCAACTACCACCGAATAACTACGGGAAGAGGACAGGGACAAAGTGACACTGAGGACGTCCGAGTGACGGGAGCCGTTTCAGCAGAACTTTACTTTTAGATCAAACATGACCTCAGGGGGAGGGGCCTGAGTTACCTGGAGTGGTAGAAAGGTGGTCCCTTCCTGTACAACACTGAAAACACACAAAGAAACACACAGTTAACACACACAAAAACACAAACACACACCGAATGTTTTCAGTCTACGGCTGAGGCTGCGCAACTTACTAAAATCAACGCCATACTTGGCTCCGCCCCCTCCTTTAGGAACCCATCCCACGCTGCGAAAGTGATGATAGGCGGCATACGAGCCGACAAAGTCTGGACGAAGTGACCGGAATTTCCTCCACAGCTCGATGACTGACAGGGGCTCCTAACCAGCCACAGCAAAGAACGGGAACGAGGTCACATCCTGTCTGAAAACAGGAAGCAGCACCACCTGGCAGACGCTCACCTGATGCAGGTAGACAGACAGGACCCCCAGGCTGTAGACCAGGAAGAAGGCCTGAAGGTGCAGACGGGTGAGTCAGACAGGTGAGTTAAGACTGAAACAAACCTGAGGACTTTGGAGAGTCACCTCTTCCAAGCTGAGCTGCAGGTACTCCGACAGGAACAGTGGACTCCGCCTCACCTGTTTGACTCCGCCCCCTTCCTGCAGAGACATCATGACAGCTGATAAACAACAACAGGTAATATACAACAAGAGCTGCAGCTTCAGAAAAAGACTCACAGGACAATCAGAGACCACCAGAACAAAACCAGGTCCTGGAACGTGAAGACCAGGACCAGGGTCAGAGTCAGAATGTTGATCAGAACCTGAGTCTGGACTTGAGTCAGAGTCAGATTCAGAACTGTGATTAGGGTCCTGCTGGTCAAGCCTGAATGTGGACAGAGAACTGTTTCATCAGAAAGTGTGAACACTGCGCTCTGATTGGACAGGACGTCCTTTAGTTCCCATCATCCTTTGCTCTCTTGACACACAGCGTCCTACAGAAGGCTGAGGTCAAAATAAACAATCAGATCTACCTGCAGCGACTCTTGGCCACAGGCTTCACCTCTGACTCCGCCCTCAGCCTCTTTGTGTGACAACAGGCTCCTGCCACCAGCCCCGCCTCCTCATCCAACTCCTTCCATCTGTTCTCTCCTTTGGCCACGCCTCCTCCCCCCTCATTCCTCACATCCTCGATCTTCATTGGCTGAGTCAGGACAAGAAGGGTTTGATTGACAGCGTCTTCGTCCAATCCCTGAGCTGAAAGAGATGCCGTCGCCCACCTGAGCAGCTCCTCATACCTGTGACGTTAACATGTGATGTCATCACAACAGACAGGAAGTGATGTCATCGTGTGAATAAACAGAAGACAAACTCACTGACCTGGACTGAGACAAGACGGGCAAATGCAACCCTTCGTGTTCTGTTGGAGACACAAAGACAACGTGACGAAACTGAGCAGCACCGATTGGTCCAGACTGATGATGTCATCAGGGTGCATGCATAAACTCACGCTCCCATTGGTCAGAGATGCTGTGGTCAGGTCTGCATCTGGACAGAACGCCCTTTCCAAAAAAACCCTGAAACAAAAAGCTCTGCTTAGCCTGAAGACCGAATTTAGGACGAAAAAAAAACAATCGGCACAATGTGGACTCAACTCAGACCTGGTTTTACATGAACTGGATCAACTCAGACCTGGT